TTATCTACTTTACTTAAGGTATACCTGTGGACAAAAGTTCAGTTCCTCTTACTGAACTATTTTTCAAGTTTGATTGTAGGCTGTTTGGGGCAGATTGCAGTGGGAAATAGGAAACACTGAGTCTAATTTAGAAGTAACTTGGGCAATTAATTAGGTCTCTACAGCAGAACCACATACTCAATTCCAGACAACAGCAACTACAGCCACTTATGAGGTAGTACGTCATTTCTCCACCGCCTAGATTTTTCCCCTCATCTATCTGAAAAACCATAAATACACCAAAATTTGCCTTTCCCATTAAATCCTTTTTTTGGCTGTAATCCTTTAAAATTTTGTGTGCCTTTTATCTTTTAGACCAACAGTCTCAATTTCATGTTTAAAGGCAGTGACCATAACAGTTAAACACAACGACTTAGACTGCCTAAATTTAAATACAGGCTGTTTACCTACTAGCTGGATGAATCTCTGGACTCCTTTTCCTCAACTATAAAATGGGCTATAAAACTGTATCTATTTAGGCCTGGTGCCGTGACTCAGGCCTGTTAGTCCCAACACTTTGGGGGGTCAAAGCCAGCAGATCACTTGAGCACCCAAGTTCGAGACCAGCTTAGGCAATATGGCGAAACCTCCTCTCTAAAAAATACAAACAAAAAAAATTAGCCCAGTGCAGTTGCATGCACCTGTAGTCCCAGCTACTAGGGAGGCTGAGATGACCAAAACCTTCATAGTTTGAGCCTCACAGGTACAGGCTGTAGTGAGCCAAGATCTTGCCACTGCACTCCAATCTGAGTGACAGAGTGAGACGCTGTAACAAAACAAACCAACCAGTATACTTACAAAAGTAAATCACAGGCTGGTGGCTCATGCCTGTAATCCCAACACTTTGGGAGACTGAGGCAGGCGGATCACCTGAAGTCAGGAGTTAGAGACCGGCCTGGCCAATGTAGTGAAAGCCCGTCTCTATTAAAAATACAAAAATTAGCAGGGCGTGGTGGCGCGCTCCTGTAATCCCAGCTACTGGGGAGGCTGCAACAGGAGAATCGCTTGAACCCAGGAGGTGGAGGTTGCAGTGAGCCGAGATGGCGCCACTGCACTCCAGCCTGGAAGATGAGAGAAACTCCGTACCCTCCATAACCCCCTCCAAAAAAAGTTAAATGACAAATATAAAGCACCTTAAATAACAGTCAGTCTCTGGCACATCAGTTATAAAATACAGATATGCAATTTTCTTAAGTATGATTCACGATTGTGTTTTATCTTTAACTCAGCATTAAAAATGAATTATAAGCAGAACTGTGAACCAGATTTATCATTCTAAACATAAATGATTGAATGCGTCCTCCTCTGTTAAACTTTTAAACAGCCACTGATGAGCAATCTAGTAAACTGAATTTGCTCAAAATAAAGAGGCCTCTCAAGAGTTCCCCCCACACCACAAATTAAGAGCTCTGAAAACACACCATCCAGAATCAATTGAAAGAATGTTTATATTAACAAACGTACAAACCGTTGAGTAACCTAAAAAAAAAACCTCTCACTCGAATTTAATAGTTAACAGTGACAAAACATGAAGCAACTAACTTGTAGTTTCTATTAAAAACTTTAAATGTTTTTCCTGTAAAACCACCCAAAATAACAAAAAAAATTATAGGGGAATTAACAAAAATAAACTTTTGTATTTGAAAAAACGTCAAAAGGCACACTGAAAATGGACTCCCTAGGAAAGATGACAGTTTATTTTACTATTAATTTCAAAGTTCTCATTCACAATTAACATTTCACTGTTTTATCTCTTAAAAACAGACTACAGGCCGAAACTTCACCACCTTTCCAAATACTGAAATTTACTGGTTTTGGCTTCCAATATATGACTTTTTGTTTAAACTTTTGGATCTATTGGTTAAAAAAAGAAAAAGGCAAATAAAAGACAGCCTTTTGTTTAAAAGGGCACAACAATCAGGTTCTCCACACCTAAAGTATGTCTTCACTTGGTCTTAACACTATTCTAGTAAGTATCTCAAACTTAATAACACCCTAATTTCCTTTCAAATATTGGATATAAAAGACCTTAGAAAAGATCAGCAGTCTACCAAATTACAAATACCAGTCTACTGAGGAGTGACTACCAATCACTTTACTTTTGGATAGGATTTACACAAGAACATGACTTGTTACTAAACTAAAACACGAACCACCATTATTAACTCTGTATTTTCCTGGTAAGCAATGAATATCAACGTTAAAAGTATTTCAACAAATATGACAATCCACCCTCAGAGCACAAAGTTGGCAGATAAAATTGACACCACAGGACAATGTGAAAACTATAAGCAACTATTACACACACACACCACCGCACCGCACCCATTCTTATGTAAACTTTTGGAGTAAGTCAACTTTGTGAGTCTCACCTTTGTTTTCACCTAGCAAGAGAGTTAAAGATGAGACACCAATTGTAAAAAGCCAAAAGATCAAAAGATTCAGTTAATGTCCCCATAGGGGAAACGACTAAAATTTTAAAACGTTACTGTATTTAAGTAATCGAAGGGCAGGGCACTTCCCCAAGCTACAGCCATTTTAGATTCAGACTTTCTTTTGAATTTCTCGGGTTGAGAAGTAGATTTAAGACGAGAAAAAAAATAACACTCTTAAAACATTTCAGGATCGAGCAGGTTCCCCCGCAGCCCCCGCAAGAGAAGAGGGTTGGTAGATATTGGATAGACTCAATCTAAACGAAAACACCTCGCTACCACGTAGAACCGGAACGCTGGGAGTTAAAACTTTTTTTCCCCTCAAATATCCCACATTTGACTTACACTTTTTCTTCCTTAGGTTTTTCTTTGAAGAAAAACAAAAGCTCTTAGCTCTCATTTCAAGAGGGAAAGAAAAAAACCCGTAAACCAAGTCCCTCAACCAGCACCAAGCCGGATCGCCTGGAGAGGAGCCAAAAAGCCGCAGGTGAGCGTTCCGACCCGACGACCAAAGTTAAAGTAGCAGCGCTTACGCGGAGCCCCGGCAACGCTCGCGTGCAAAGCTCCAAGCACTGCGATGGCGGGAGTGCGCCGTTCGAACCACTTGACCCGTGGGCTCCGCTCGTCCCTCTCGGGTAGGACCTAAAACCAACCACCTGTGTGAGAGCTTCTTTCACCTAGTTTTAATAGCCGGTTGGTTAGGCACCGGGCGGGGCCCCGCGCTGGAACGACTCCAAGATCTCCTACTGCCCCGTTGTCCCCAACTCCCACTCACCGGGCAGGGGTGGGACTACGACCAGGGACGAGACGCAGCGTCTGACAACGCGTCCCCAGCTAGTCGACTTGGCAGAGGCGGCTAGCCCACAACCATAACAAAGCTCTTCCCAAAATGGCTGCCCGGCCCACAAGGCCCAGGAGGGGCAGAGCGGGTGGAGGAGGAGCGACGAGCAGCACGGCCCTCCCCTCCCCCGTCCGACCCCGCCTTACACACGCCCACCTGAAGGAGCGCATGCGCACGGGACCTGCCCCGGCGACACTGCCGGACGGTTCCCGAGCCCTAAGCTGCTAACGTTCGGCCCCCAGAACGGCAGTTATGCCCTGCCCTGCCCCTGGCTCCCTTCCTCGCCGCTCGAGGCGGCGTGTGGTCGCCTCCGCCCCCTACAGAGTTGAATCCTCTGCCTTTCCTCGTGCCGCCTGAAGCAAGGACAAGCCTAGTTTACTACGCCCCTTCTAACCCCCCTGCCCACTTTCGGGACCTGAGCGCGTAGGAATGAGTGGGTGGGTATGTATATATGTATTCCCTTCTTTCTTCACCTTCCCACAGCCCTCCCGTGGGCCGGTACGCGTCCCAAAACTACCTCTACAAGGACTTGCAAACCGGTTTCGCAGAAACATGTGTTTTTCAGCCCCTTCCCACCTTCCGCTCCTTCCTTCACGTGTGCGTGTCGTTGAGACTCCAGCCCCCAGCAGCCCACACGGCCTGGCTCCGGAGGCTGCGCGGCTGGGTCAGCCGCGCTACCCACTGGGAGTAGTAGTTCCTTGGGAGCCCAAGTGTCATGCCCCGCCCCAGCGCAGGGCGGGCTTTTGGCTAGAGTCTGCGCCAGTGACAGTGCCGTTTCTTCTACCTTAAGTCTCATTGGGTATCGCACTATTGGAAGGGGCGGCGCTGCCATAACAGAGAAGGCAATAAAACTGAAGGCCTAACTCTACTAAAGGCGCTATTAAGACTTTGCTGTGGCTCCATCCGGCACGGAACGCTAAACCATGTGATGGGTGGCAACCAGGAAGCTACACTACCTAGAATCCGGAGGAATGGAGGGGCTGGCCGGCTTGGGCCCCTGAGATCTCCTATTACATGTCTTCAGCTTTATCCATACACACGGAAGGACACTCAGTTTGCCTAGTGCCATTTCCTGTGAAACAAGTCCAGATAAGAGAAGGGACTTGCCCAAGGTCACATAGCGGAGAAATAAAGCCGAGGGCAGCAGGAGAAATGATCTGACTTTCCGCACCACCCCCAAGCCCAGGGCTCTTATCACCACACCTTTCGTGGAAATAGAAATCCTGCTCTTGTGCTATTTAATCCTTAACGAAGTTTCTAGCTCCTAGCAAAGAAATAAATGTAATAATTGGACTTTTTCTCCCTTTAATAGTAAAGGGCCGTAATGCGGAGTGACATGGGCCCCATAGGTCTTATAACCCTGTTTTGCAAAGTAAAAAATAAATTCCACAGATGACAAGCAATTTGGCCAGGTCACTCTGGGCCTAAAATCCCGTCTCTTACCTTCCTTCACCACCATCATTCTGAGATTGTTTCAGTACTTGCACTCTACCTTCTCGAACTCTGTGGGCAGATTCTGCTGCCTGGGAGCCATGAAACAGAAAGTCTAGAACCGTTCAGGTACCTTGTTCAACATCTGGCTTCAACTAGAAATTAAGAATGGCCCCCAAACAGAAAGCCGGGCGTAGGAACCAGTTAGCGCAGGTTAAGGCCCTACCCGGACTTATTTTCTTTTGAGTCCTCAGGAAGTAGGGGGCTTTCTCTGATTCCACTTGCCGGAAGTGTCTTTGCAGGGAGGCATGGGCTGTTTCCTTGCGGCTGTTTTCCTGCGGCTGTTTTCCATCTCTCTGTGCAACGCTGGTAAGTCTCAAAGCTGCCACAGCTACAGAATGGGATGGGAGGCACCAAGGGTTGGTAGTAAATTGTAGACGCGGGCACTGTAGGGCAAGGTTTCCCGAAGACACTAGCGTCTAAGCTCCTCCCCCCTTTCTCAGAGGTCTTTTTGAAGCTGGCAGTTGCAGTCTTCCTATTAGGGCAATGGGAATATTGAGCTTTTTAATCCAAATTAGGAGGATTAACCTTTGAGTCTCAGTCCTTAATCCCCGCATCACCTGCCGTCGCTGGACTTTAGGTTATCACTTTTTAATACCCGTTAGTTGGAAAGCATGTGCCATAGAGGATAGGGAGTTTCCAAAGGTCGGGGATGGTTGAGATTTTAAATGGAGTGGTCTGGAAAGCGATTTTGACAAAAGTGATGGGTACACTCTGCTGGCATTTTGGTCTGGGGCTTATGTGGGTGGGTGTGGGTGTGATCTAACTTACTTATTCCTTTAGAATGAAGACATTCACTGGTATACAGGGTTTCTTGACCCAACCCTAAGATATGTGGATCTGTAATCAATAAATTTGTTCAATTTTTTAAAATTTTTATTTATTTATTTTTTTGAGATGGAGTCTTGAACTGTCGCCTGGGCTGGAGTGCAGTGGCTCGATCTTGGCTCACTGCAACCACTGCCTCTCAGGTTCAAGCGATTCTCCTTTGTCAGCCTCCCAAGTAGCTGCGATTACAGGCACCCGCCACCACGCCCTGCTAATATTTGTATTTTTGTTTTGTTTTGTTTTTTTGTTTTTTACTTCCTCTAGCATGGATCACAGGAAACAAATTTTTTGTATCTTTAATAGAGACGGGGTTTCACTATGTTGGCCAGCTGGTCTCGAACTCCTGACCTCGTGATCCACCTGCCTCAGCCTCCCAAAGTGTTGGGATTACAGAGGTGAGCCACCGCGCTGGCCCAATCGATTTTTTTAATTAAACAGCAACTATAGATTTTTCAGACATTTCATTCTGGCTAAGAATGGAATTGTCGGCCGGGTATGGTGGCTCATGCCTGTAATCCCAGCACTTTGGGAGGCCGAGGAGGGTGGATCACTAGGTCAGGAGTTCGAGATCAGCCTGGCTGAGATGGTGAAACCACGTCTCTACTAAAAATTCAAAAATTAGCCAGACACAGTGGCGGGTGCCTATAATCTCAGCTACTTGGGAGGCTGAGGCAGGAGAATTGCTTGAACCTGGGAGGCAGAGGTTGCAGTGAACCAAGATGGGGCCACTGCACTCTAGCCTGGGTGACAGAGCAAGACTCTGTCTTAAAAAAAAATAAATAAAAATAAATAAAAATAAAAAAAGAATGGAATTGTCAGATCTAGAATTCATATTCTCATTCAACTGTTTTTACTGGTTACTTACTAATCAGGGTCTCCTCTGTAAGGTGCTTACTTTCTGTCAGGGGCAGTTCTCAGCTATTTACATGTATTAACTTAATAAATATTACATCAGGCTTAATAAATATTACACACCTTAATAAACATTACAGGTGTGTGTGGTGGCACACACCTGTAATCCCAGCACTTTAGGAGGTCAGACAGGCAGATCGCTTGAGCTCAGGAGTTCAAGACCAATCTGGGCAATATGGCAAAACCCTTTCTATACAAAAAATACAAAAATTAGCTGGGCATGGTGGCATGGCCTGTAGTCCCAGCTACTTAGGGAGCTGAGGTGGTGAGATCCCTCCAGCCCAGGAGGTTGAGGCTGCAGAGAGCAGAGATCATGCCACTGCACTCCATACTGGGCAACAGAGTGACACACTGTCTCCCAAAAAAAAAAAAAAAAAAAAAATTAAAAAAAACCTAAAAAAAAAAAAAAAAAAATAATATAAAAAAAAAAAAAAAAAAAAGTTACATCAACCCTATGAAAGTAGTTAGTACCTTTATTTCAAAGGTAAATGAACTGCACCATAACAAGATTAAATAATTTGTTCAAAGACACACAGCTAATAAGTAGTGGAGCCAGAATTCCAACCAAGTTTGATTCCAGAGTCTGTATTCCAACAGGCTATTCTCTTTCTCCGTACCAAGTTAATAAAATGCTTGCCAGGCATGGTGGCTCATGCCTGTAATCCCAACACTTTGGGAGGCCAAGGCAGGTGGATCACCTGAGGTCAGGAGTTCAAGACCAGCCTGGCCAACATAGTGAAACCCCATCTCTACTAAAAATACAAAAATCAGCTTGGGAGGCTGAAGCATGGGAGTCGCTTGAACCTGGGAGGCAGAGGATGCAGTGAGCCAAGATTGTGCCATTGCACTCCAGCCTAGGTGACTGAGCAAGGCTGTCTTAAAAAAAAAAAAAACACCCAAAAAAACTAAGTTATATTGATAGGTACTATCATTATTTTGAATTGTGAACTCTTAAGCCCCAAAGTAAATAACTAAGGAGAAAAAAAGGAAACAGAGAAGCTATGACCTTCCAGTTGTTTTTTTTAATCTCACAAAAATGCCATTTAGAAGACCTTTCATTTTAAAGATGAGAAAACTGGTACTCAGGCACTTTACTTAGTGTCACACAGCTAGGAAGTGGTGGAGGTATCTGTAAAATCCCTGTGTGCATTACTCTTTTCTGTTAAATCAGACAGCCAAAGCTAAAAGAACAGTTCAGGTATTAAAAGAATCTATTTCCATACTGTGTTACTGATAGTTTGAAAACATTAATGATTCTTTTCAAAGGAAACTGTTACATTTATGAATTACTACTGTTTAAAAATTAATGTATAAAATGAGGAAAATTAAGTGACGTCTTGTTTTATACACAGAAACATGCCTCTGAGTCAGGGCCTCCATTGAGCTGTAACAACACGTTAATCAGAACGGCATCTTCCTGAACAAGACTTTCAACAGGGGCCAGTATGCTTCGCTTCATCCAGAAGTTTTCTCAAACATCTTCAAAGGTTGGTTTATTCAGCAAATATTTGAGCACTATTTGCCAAATATTGCTTGGGCTAGGGCAGTTGCAGTGAAAAAGACAAAAATCCTTATCATTGTTTATTTAGGTGATGGAGGGAAGAGTTAGGTAAAATACATGTAAGTAAAATATTTAATATATCAGGCTGTGTGCGGTGGCTCACTCCTGTAGTCCCAGCACTTTGGCAAGCCGAGGTGAGTGGATCACTTGAGTCCAAGGAGTTCAAGTCCAGCCTGGGCACATGGAAAAACCCCATCTATACAAAAAATTAGCTGGGCATGGAGTCACACGCCTATAGTCCCAGCTACCCTGGAGGCTGAGGTAGGAGGACTGCTTGAGCCCAGGAGGTTGAGGCTACAGTGAGCTGAGATCATGCCATTCCAGCCTGGGCAACACAGCAAGACCCTGTTTAAAAAAAAAAAATGGGGCCGGGTGCGGTGGCTCAAGCCTGTAATCCCAGCACTCTGGGAGGCCGAGGCGGGTGGATCACGAGGTCAAGAGATCGAGACCACCCTGGTCAACATGGTGAAACCCCGTCTCTACTAAAAATACAAAAAATTAGCTGGACATGGTGGTGCATGCCTGTAATCCCAGCTACTCAGGAGGCTGAGGCAGGAGAATTGCCTGAACCCAGGAGGCAGAGGTTGCGGTGAGCCGAGATCGCGCCATTGCACTCCAGCCTGGGTAACATGAGTGAAACTCCGTCTCAAAAAAAAAAAATGTTGTCAGGTGCTGTGACTTACAGCTCTAATCCCAAATCCCAGCACTTTGGGAGGTTGAGGCAGGCAGATCACTTGAGGTCAGGAGTTCAATACCTGCCTGGCCAACATGGTGAAACCCTATCTCTACTGAAAAATACAAAAATTAGCTGGGCATGGTGGTGGATGCCTGTAATCCCAGCTACTCGGGAGGCTGAGGCACGAGAATCACTTAAACCTAGGAGGCAGAGGTTACAGTGAGCAGAGATCACGCCACTGCACTCCAGGCTGGGTGATAGAGTGAGACTCAGTCTCAAAAAAAACAAAATAATAATAATAGTATATCACTTACCTGCTGTGGAGAGCTATAAAGCAGGGAAGGGGGGAATAGGGAGTGTCAGGATGTAGGACTGCACTTATAAATGGCAGGGGGTCAGAAATAGGGGAATGGGCCATACAGGTAACTGAAGGAAAAGCAGTAAATATGGAAACGGGAAATGGTTCCAAGATGGAACCATTCCTAGTATATTTGAGTAATCACCAAGAATCTTAAATAACTTCAATATTTTCTTTAATCCAACACTTTTTAGTTGAAGTCTGGCATCTGCTCACTAAAGCACAGAATCAGCAGAAAAGGTTATTACTTTGCCCATGTACAATGAAAGGCACTGGGGATTTTAAGGCATGGAACAAAATATGGTCCTGGCTCTCAAGTCTACTGAGACAGAGACAAGTAAACACATAATTTTAATTTATTGTGAGAAGAATTATGATGGAAGTGTGCATAGGGTACTTACTATAGGAGCATTAAATCAAACGGTAGAAGGGTTAAGGAAAGCTTTAAGTTGAATGTTGATTGTTGAGGTAAGTTTCCTAGATAGAAAAGGAGTAAGAACTAGAATTCTAGGCAGAGCATATACAAAGGTGTGGAACTATGAAAAGTATGTGGTGTTTATAAAGCTAAGTTGGAAGGCAGATTTATTTCCTCCATATAAAAACACTATTCCCACAGTAATTAGTGCTGCTTCTTTTGCTAGTAATAAATAGAAGAGGCAGTTTAGAAGGCCAGATTCTGCCCCAGGCGCTGATCATTGGGATCACACCTGTAATCCCAACTCTTAGGGAGGCAGAGGCAGGAGGATAACTTGAGCCCAGGACTTCAAGACCTGCCTGGGCAATATAGCAAGACCCCATTCTCCACAAAAAGGAAAAGAAAAACAAAAGGACAGAAGGCCAGATTCTGAAGATCTAATCTTTACCTGCTTCTCTTTTAGATATTTCTCTCATGGAATAAAATTAAGTGGTAGGTTTAAATATATCATGGTTTGTGTTCAGTGATTTCTTTTGTACATTATATAGCCATTTCATACTCTTACCAGCAATAACATCACTTTAGAGTCAGTTCATCCTTTCTGTACAGTTTAATGTGCTAATGGAAAGCAAATCTTTTTTGTTTGCTCCTTCCAAATAATCTTTCATATTGAGATTTACTAAAATCTGATACATATATATAATTTTTTTCTTTTTTTTCAGGTATGTCTTAGTAGTGTGAAAACGGAATTTTTTTTTTTTTTTAATTTTGTCTTCTGGCTCTATTTTCTTTGCAGATGCTGACGTACTCTTTCCCAGTGGGACTAAGAGCCAGCAGAACAGATACACTTTCTCTCAAGATGTCTCTCCAGCAGAACTTTTCCCCGTTTCCAAGGCCTTGGCTTTCTTTTTCATTTCCAGTGTATATGAGCAAGACACAGTGCTATCATACATCCCCCTGCAGCTTTAAAAAGAAGCAGAAAGCAGCATTTCCAGCCAGGCCACCAAGCACCATCTCTTATCTGCCTGAGAGCCCAAAGCCAGCATTATATATAACTGTGGCAGGACTAATCCCCTTCCTTGCTCCACCACTGGTCATGCTGATGACAAAAACTTATATTCCCATATTAGCTTTTACTCAGATCGCTTATGGAGTCAGTTTCCTATCTTTCTTGGGTGGGATCAGATGGGGTTTTGCTCTACCAGAAAGTAGTCCAGCCAAACCAGATGTCCTTAATTTGGCTAACAGTACAACTCCTCTTCTGTTTTCATGGTTTGCCTTCCTTTTTTCTGAAAAACTCGGTGAAGCAGAAGCCATAGTCACAATAATAATGGGTCTGGGGATAGCATTACACCTTGAAGTTTTTCTCTTACCACATTATCCCAACTGGTTCAAAGCCCTGAGGCTAGTAGTCACTTTAGTGGCCGCTTTTTCACTGATACTCACTTTAATGGTTAAAAATGTTTTTTCCGAAAAAGGACATAAGAAACCTGGTCAAATATAAAAATACACTGTAGATAACATTAGTATGCTGGTTACACCTTTTTCTACTTCTGTTTGGCTCTTTTTTTCCCACACCAATGGTAA